ATAAAAGATATTTAAGATTAAATCACGTGTTTGTACTTTATAACTTTGAACTGCAGCAGTGACTCCTGGTGGAAAAACCCGCACGTCACAGTCGGCGGACATTTTCTTTATGAAAGCAAATAACAGCAGAAGTTTGTCCACCGACCTGCCGGTGTGTCCTCCGGTGTGTCCCCCGGTGTGTCCTCCAGTGTGTCCTCCGGTGTGTGTCCCGGTCGTCCTGCGGTCTCCAGCAGTTTCCGCTGTCTCTCTATCTCCTGCTTCAACCGGAAAACGTCATGTTCGTATTCGCTTATCGTTCTGGTCAAACAGCGGAAAATGTCGTCGGTGACCGCGGACAGACGCTGATCCACAAACAGCCGCAACGCGTCGAGCTTCAACATGTCGGAACAGAAACGATCCAACACCGGGACCCGGAGCAACCGGAGGGTTCGAACACCGACAGTTCGACACTGAGAGGACGAGGCAGACCGGAAGTCTTCAACATAAGAGCCGCGGTTATTTTACTACAGATGTTTGAGTTCAAAACATCTGCGTGAAGTTCCTGAGTCTCATCATTACTCATCAAATAATATGTTTGTACTAAAATAATAAATATTCTTATTTTAACAGCGACTTAAAAAATGCACCGTAGTTTTATTCTGGAGGTTTAGATGTTTCAATTCAGAGGACTTCCGCGGTTACACACCAGTCACGTGACTCGTGACTGACACGTGACTTAACAGGTCGTGTGGCTGTGAACTCGTCCACCAGGAGGCGTCAGGGAGCATGTTTATATTTACACCTCAGACCTGAGGAACCCTTTGAAAATTCCTAAAATCAAAGGATCCTAAAAAAAAAGAATTCAAATATTTATACCAGATCTACATCAAAGGACACGTGTCTTCAATCACTTATGATTCTTCTTCTTATCGACTTTAATCCCTCAACATTGAGTGACTTGGTTTGGTCTCAGGTGGGATGTTCCATTTGCACATAAGTGGAAGTTGGGTTGATGGAAGACGGCACGTTCATTTTATTTGTATGTATGGATATGGATCTCTTACTAACTGTGGCTGCTGTGCTTAAAATT